TCGATAGGTAATCTTTTCTAAGGCAAGGCATGAGGTCATCCCCTTTATCCATTGAGACACGCCAGGACTTTCTTCTTTTTTTCCAAGAACATGCAATTACACGTTTAGCTTCCAGCAAACAGAGAATTAACAACAATCTTTCATGTTTGGTGATTTTAAAATTCAGAGGACAAATACGTAATAAACACAACCTGGGATCAAGAAGAATAACTTTTCCAATGATTTGACTTACAATTTTCAATATTTTAACCCCAAAACAATTAACGTTAGTGCATTCCCACATACAATGGAATAAAGTTCCCTTCTCCTTTTCTCTTTTTCCTTCTCTTGTTTACATTTGTAGCATATATCAGGAATATTCAGTTTGAATATAATTGTTTCTAGTTTAGCAAGAAATTTCTTTATAAAATGGTTTGTCAAAATCCTTATCCAGCAATCATAAACTACAGTAATGGTATGTAGTAGTAATTGATTGGCTGAGAGTATCCTGGGCTGGTCTGTAATGCATTAGAAAAGGTGAGGCATGGCAGTGAGATGAGTGGTTCTGGGCTGGTGTGTGCGGTCTGAGTGATATGGACGCTGATGGCCGTGTGTGTGTGCAGGACGGGATGTGCTGGTCGTGGCCGCTCGTGTCTGCGCTGGTGCTCTGCTCGCTCCTGTCTGTGGGGACGGTGAGGACGGCGCCCTGTCAGACCTGCCGCAGACTCACAGACAGCTTCATCAAGGTCTGGGTGATCTCATTCACTAGCTACTGCTCATTCTGATATCATTTTCTAACTTAGAGTGAAATAGGATATTCAGTCAGCTTCCCCGGTTGAAAAACTGGTTTAAGCTGGTCCTAAGCAACTAGCTTCTGCTCAGGACCAGCTTAATCCAGCTCAAACCAGCAGCCATGCTTCAAAACATACCTAACCAGCATATGCTCAGCATATTTCAACAGGGCCCATTTATATGAGGAAACAAAAACAAAAGATAAAATTAAATAAAAAAACACACATGAAAAAGACAAATGTCAGCACACTGAAATTAAAGGTTTATTCACAAGAGCCAGTGCAGTGTTTCAACCAGTCGGGTCTTCATCAGGCACAGTCCCCATCCTTTTTTGTAAATAAACATTCTAGAGCTGCAATTTTTGCCAATTTAAAAATCTATTTAATTAATAGTAAATGTGCAGACATCTATCTTTTTGTTTGATATGAACATGTTCTTTTATATACACATATAACAAAACATAATAATAAACAACATTTACAATTATTTCAATATAACATCTTAATATAAAAGTCCCAAAAATAACAGAAAACTTACTGTCATACTTGTGAGTCCTGAGACAAGGAAGAACTATGAAACTAATCTAATCATCAAAATCACAGTCTTGTTCAATTTGACCTGTAAAATCTTTGCAAATATATTGTGAATATACACCGTTGTGTAATTTATGCATCATGCTCTAAACCTAGTGTTAAGGTTTTATATGTTGACAAGAATGTTGTAGCGTTGAGTTCAGATGATGGTGCTTGTTTCATTAGGGTTTGGAGCGAACAGCCAATAAGAATTTCGGAGGAGGGAACACAGCTTGGGAAGAGGAGAAACTGGCAAAATATGCACGCAGGTAAACATCTGTACTGATCCGACTCGCAGTGTTATTACAGAACAGAGGATCGTCATCCTCATATATGTGATCTTAATGTTTGGTCTGCAGCCTTTGTTTCAAAGCCTGTTGTGTGTGTGTGTGTGTGTGCACGCAGTGAAACGCGTCTGTTAGAGATCGTAGAGGCTGTGTGTGACAAGTCTGACTTTGACTGCAACAGACTGCTGGAGCAGATAGAGGACCAGGTGGAGACATGGTGGTTTCACAGGTGCCTGTCTTCTTTTGTTTAATGGTGATTTACATTTTTTGTGAATGTTTTTTTTTTTTTTTTACATTTGTGACCCTGGACCATAAGTCGCACGGTTATATCTGTAGCAATATCCAACAATACATTGTATGGGTCAAAATTATCATTTTTTCTTGTATGCCAAAAATCATTGGGATATTAAGTAAAGATCATGTTCCATGAAGATATTTTGTACATTTCCTACTAGGGTTGTAACGGTATGAGATTTTCACAGTATGATAATTGTCTCAGAAAATATCACGGTATATATTAAACAATAATTCTTATCAGTAACAATGACTCTTAAAAGAATAAGAACAAGTTATTTGAGTGAACAAATCCTTTATTACAACAAACTTGAAACCATTTTAATGAAAGTATTGAAGTCTCCCTTCTGAAAAAAAGAAATAAATAGTCCTAAATCTCATTTTAAAAAAACAATTAAAAAATAAAGCTATACACCTTATATATATCTATATCACACTTAAACATTTTAATTAATGTTTTAAAATGTTATCAAATTAAAATTTAACAACTTTTATTTTTGGCAAAGTTCTGCACATCAGAGGTATACTAAGTTAAAACATGGACAAACATGATATTCCTTAAAATAATGTTTAAATTAATTATTGTAAAGAATATTATTATTGTTGTTATTTTAACTTTGAAGTACATTGAACAATGCTAATATATTTATCATAATTTCGAGTTAAATCAAACTTTTATTTTGACAGGTTGTAGCGGACCTTTGAGTTTCAAAGTGTATTTGATAATGGTTTTTCTCAAATAAAACGTCTCAGGTTACGTATGTAACCATGGTTCCCTGAGAAGGGAACGAGACACTGTGTCCTCTAGAGGTCGCTATGGGGGAACGCCTTCAGCGTGACCGGTGTCTGAAGCATACATCTAAACACGACAATAACATTGGCCGGCGACAACCTGTGACGTCATCACCCGGCGTGACCACAATATAAAAGGGTGCCGAGAGAACACGTCATCCGCTTCTTCGTCTGAAGCTTACGTCCGATGCATGGCAAGGGATCGCAGTGTCTCGTTCCCTTCTCATGGAACCATGGTTACATACGTAACCTGAGACGTTCTCTTCCGAGGGACCTTCGAACTGCGTCCTCTAGAGGTCGCTATGGGGAACGGTATACCCACGCCGCCATGCTGAGGGGAGTGCATGCCAGAAACCATGGCGAGCACTAAGTACCAACTCTACCATAGCCATGGGAGTTGCCCCAAGGACGCCTTGATGGCTGTCAGTGACATTATCCCCTCCGGCCAAGGGCCTGAGCTGCATACCCTAAAAGAACTTACCTGTTAAAGGCTGGGCCAGGAAGCCCAGGCCTAGGGCAGAGCTCAAGGCTTGTAATCAGAAGAAAGAGATTTCTTTAAGGGGATACGGCCAGGTGTCTAAAAAACCAAACCAGACCCTGCCCTGCCACCAGGGGTGTGAAGTAACGAATTACAAATACTCATGGGTACAGTAATTAAGTAGTTTTTATCAGTAATTGTACTTTTTTGAGTAGTTTAAAAATTGTGTACTTTTACTTGAATACATTTTAAGTGATGTATCGGTACTTTTACTCCGCTATTTTCCTCCGTTTGTGGTCGTTACATGCTTATTTTAATT